TTTTTTTTTTTCTGTTCAGTGATTCCGTTCTCGTCGGGCATTTCAGTGCGTTGTTGCTCCATTTGCTCGCGTTTGATGCACCATTCGCTCGGACGGCAGTGGTTTCTCGAGGGACGATCGTTACTTGTCACCGTGAATGCAAATCTGACTGTGAAAGGAATGTGTTTTTTACATTTCGAGCGTTAGAATGTACAATACGCTCTTGCTCGAAAGCTTCAAGGTCATTTTTTATCTTATCAATATTCGACCGATTATATTATGATGGCTAATTGAATTTTTAAATTGCACATTCGTTTTAAAATTTAAAAATCGTTGCGTGTCAACGCCTCAAAGATTGTTTATTTCTTCCTTCCAATCTTTGGGGCAAACGTAATGCTCGTTTCGTGTGATTTTTAAGTGGAGGTGTACGTAGACCCACATAAGGAAAATATTAATAAGTAAAAAAATGGAATTTAAACTTTAAAGAGATTCTTCCACCTTTATGCATGAGAATCCATAGTTGGTCGATAATTACAAATAAATGACTCATTTGTAATTATTACTATGACGTTGATTTAAGGATTAATAATTATAATGAGTTAATTCAATTCGAGAAGTTTCTACATTTTCGCAATTCTGATTGCTACAATTTATAGGCGAGATCATTTTTAACGGCTAATTATATGTTGTTTCGTAACGTATTTACATAATTATGTACAGTTTCGAGATATATGATTTTTACGGTATATAATTAACTATCAGTTCACTTTTTTATTGCATAAAATGCGAGACGTGACGAAAGAAAGAATTTTAATCTTCCGAAGGGAGATTTTAATCTCAAATGAGTATTGAACAGAATGATACGTTAGATTGTAAGAAAATGTTCGAATATCTTTCAATTTCATTCGGTAACGCTGTAGTAACGTAAAACACGCATTGGTCACGCTTAAGTCATCGGGAAGAAAACCGTAAAATGAATGAAGATTACTTCTCTCGAGCCACGAGGAATCATGGCAGGAAGATAGCGCGATCGAGAACGCAACGCTTTCCACGCTTTTCCGCATAGAATCGTTATTTACAGAGATCGCTGGACTACGAAACTCTTAGAAACGAAAGAAGAGAATACAGCGTTCACTCTGTACGGGGCAAGCGACCAATTAGTACTTTTTTTGCAAATGAAAGACGATTATTTGAAGATCGAGCGAGAAAGTCCAGTAATAGTGATAAGATCGAGTGATAGAGCGAAGTTCAAGTAGCGAAAATTGAATGAACAAGTGCAGTCAGTGAAGATAGATCGAGGCTCGATAGCACAGAGCATAAAAAATGCTTTGATACAAAGCGTGAATGATGGAAAAATGCCCAGAAACCTGCGAGTCACCCAGGAAAAGTATTCTAACGTACATTGAAAACCAGTTTCCAATTACAGTTACATTGAATCGAAAAACCAATATCTCTGAATTGTAAAGTAATCCCTGAAATAAATGAAATTCATCTTTCCAGAATAAAGCGTTTCTGATATTGGAAACTAGTTGTTGAATATTTGGATATAATTTTTGTCTAAGCCTCAGTATAGGATTCTGTTTGTGATAAGAAATTGTACAAGGTATGATACATTTTATACGACAAGTATTTCCAGAACGAGACTTGTGGCTAACGCTTGAATATTCCAGTGACACGAAGCAAATATAATTTTCCAAATAGAAGACAGGCACATATTTGCACATGAACATCTAAGTGGACTAGCTGTACTTTTAGAAACGCAGCTTCTACTTTAAATGTGCATATCTAAACACGATCCTTTACTTTGTGATCCTTTCGCGAAAGGATCCAATGCGCCAGAAATCTTGTTCGACCACCGGATACACGATTTTTTTTCTTTTTTTTTTTGCGAGTTTACGTGATAATGTTACATCTCTACTTTCACCTTTCTTTTAAGAACTGTAATGTTTCTCGCTCCATATAGACTGTTACGAAATATTGTGTTAGATCGTAAACACCATCGAAAAAAAAAAGTTGGTCTCGTTAGAATTTTATTATACTCCACTATTAATTAACAAGCTATTTATTTTAACAATTAGTCTCTACATTGAATGCAATCTTACATGTTAATATATTGACGTTAATCACAATTTTATATAGTAACATTGAAGAAAAATAAACTTTGTGTAACATAAAAATATTACGATAGATAAATAATTATCGTTTTACTTCGGACATTTGCACGTCTTTTAATTTCCCGCAAATGCATAGTGTTAGTCTAACGACCAACGAATCACAGACTCACGAAAGAAAATGCACATGTAAATCATAGAAGTTACGTTTCAACAAGAGACAAATGATACAATAAATACGCACCGACTACTACGAAGAGGAACAAGGTCGTGGCGATCTTCATGCTCGTCGATCCAGTTTAACTATCGCGGAGGAAATTTACAAAAATCGACGACGACGATCGTCTCGAACGAAGCTTCCGCGAGAACGTTCCCTATTTCTCCAGACGATTGCCTCGCGAATGAAACGTTTCGAAGATTACTCTCTGGTTGCGCGATGACCGATGTATAGACAACGTCCTCACGAGCCGCTCCGGTGAACGTGATACTTCTCGTGATAGAGAGATAAAAAGGTACGACAGGTTACTCGTTCCCGCGGACACTAATACTGCATGGAATATGTTCCTCGAAGGCGAGCACGCGGGGCACTCTCGAACCCCATCTGGTTTCCAGGGACGGCTAAAACTTGGCTCCACTTTCAAGATCTCCCCCTCTCTTTCTCCTCGAGCGTGGAAAACGTTATATAGTTAATATACAGATTAGCTGGATTAAAAGAGCTTGGTGAATATTTTATGAATTATCAGATCTAACAGCATTCATTAAAATCCTTCCAATCAAGATCGACTGAAGTTCTACCAGTCTTTGCTGAATAAACTAGCGATCGAATTTTTCGAAAAAAAGTTACGGGAAAAAGAAAAAAAAAAAAGCAATGAAGTTTCAATTTAAATTTATGATGATTGATTGATTATTTCTTCGTTATTTCTTGAGGCAAGCTAGCAGTTATATTGGACGCCTTGAACAATTTCTTGAGAATGTGACACGGGCCTGTCGAACCCCACCAGGCATCAACGAGAACCGTCTGTTCACGGTACAGGTCCGATACGTGCACGTCCAAGCGGCCACGAGTAAAATCCCGTCCGAGTGGAAGTGTCGGTGACCCACTCGGACGAAACGATAACGGGATCGTCGCGCGTTCATTTAGAGCCCGAGCGAACTGATCGACCGGTAAAGAGGATCGACTGCTTCTTTTTTTCAAGCAGGTCTTGGTCTTCGAAAGATTCGAATAAACAACATTATTTAACACAGTTGAGATTTGAGATTGTTTCCTTCTCTCTTGTCTCTTCGGAAGTGATTGTATCAATCAGCTCGTAGAATATTGTTAATAACGTTAACGTGATATCGTAGTGTAATTATGATTTTACAAATGTTGTTTATACAAGAAGTAAAAGTAGAAGTAGAATTAGAATTTTATATAAGAATCAATCAGACGAATTTATATTATCTTCTCCAGATTTCATACTTATGCAAATGTGTCTGACGTTGTATGAAAATTTTATACTACGCGAATAGCATAGAATTCTGTAAAATAATTAGAAATATTTATTTTTAGAGAAATATTTATTTTTAGAGAACACTTTACAAAATTTTCTTTTATCTTTTTGAATTCATCGTTCAAAGTTGGACTAACCGTTTGCAAGTATCTGCGATTCTTGTCTACTAATCTAGTTCTCAGTGCGAATCAAGTGACGTAACAAGTGAATTCCGTTGAACCGATTTTATAGTGAAATCGTGCCTTTTACCGCGCGGACATGCGTTAGAAAACTTGGACGTGTTGCTCGTAACTTTTCCAAATTGCAGATTGTTTCGATATTGATATAGAAGCATGTTACACGTGTAACACGTGTAAGTTAAATCTACAGAAAAAATATTAAAATAAAATACAAAGAAAATATTAAAATGTTGATCACATGAATCTCAAAGTGTTGATTAAAATTTAATGATTACATATCTATATTTTAATTTCTAATTCTTTGTTCGGTACTTTGAATTCTTAATATAATTTTTTTTTTAGGTAATAATTAATTAAATGTACGAGATCGCGTACTTTTGTTAATAAACAATCGTTTAACTTTTTTCGCGGCAGAATTTACCAATTCAAAGTGATTGGAGATACACGCGCCATCTGTTCGATACATCGATACTCGAGAGCTTGCCGCGAAAAGTTTAATTCAAAAAAGTTGTGTAATTTTCTTTAGAAGTGTAGTGTTTTCCGAAATGATAGAATGAAAATATTAATTTATAATACGTAGAAAAATATTATAAAAAATACATCAGCAAAATAGTTATAAGGTTAAATTACATATTCCTAATTGTTTTATACGTAATAAATTCATTAAAAATCACTGTAGAAAAGTATCAACATTTAAAATAAACCCAAAAGATTTCAACCCTAGCTATCCTTATAAAAATAATTAGAAAATAATTTTAAATTCGATCAAAGTCTATCTATGATTCTTTTAAAATTATTATTTTATGTTATTATATTACAAAAGATATTAATAGAAACTCACGATATCTAATTAAAATTCCAAATTTATCAATTTGTGATCTAATTATATTCACGTTGGCTCTTTTCCCATGTCATGAATTTTTAATATTTCATCGTTCATTCTAATCAGCTTTAGGGAGAGATAGTTTAGATTACGATAAGAATACTTCTCATAAAAAATAATACGAAGTGTATATTCCATCTAAAAATCGATAATTCAAATTAATTGCATCAGATAATTAACCACAAAGGAGCTCTAAAAAAAAAACATTTAAAATATTTTGTATTTACTTCTGAAATAAACAGAATTCGTGTAAAATTGAACTCATATTAAATTTAAATTTGAAAATATATCTATATGTAAAATTAAATTCCAACAGTTAACGTAGAAAAATTTAATGTTTTTGTTAAATATTTAGACCTTTCAAAGTATATGAACATTAGTAAATTAAATGGACAAAAATAATCGATTACTTTTTCTCTTTGCAGAGGGAACACTTTTATCGCAAAGTGAAATTCCAACCTCTATTTGCCACAATATCGTTAGAACGTTATTTTTATTCCAGAGAAATGTAACGGATCTACCACGCACGTCCGAAAGTTCAAAGGTTACTTTTATCAATTTTCACGTTGATGCAGAAACTTCTTCTTCGGTGCAAAAAATGATGTCCCTCGAATGTCTGCTAACAAGCTTAACATTGATAAAGTTTCTCAAAATAAATACTCTGAATTTTCGCAAATTTTCATTCATCGTTTGTAGCTTCGCTTTGACAATGTTGTCAATATTTCAATCATTGTGTTTTATTTGTAACAAGTTAGTCAAATAGCCGAATGTCTCGCGCACCTCGACTACTTTAAAATTGAGCAGACCTGAGAAGAATTTCAGAAGCTGATGCAGCATTCGCGTCACGTTAGTTGGAAAAGCAGCATCGATCGTTATGCAAGAATGGCGCCGATCTTTATTTAAATTAATTTCCTCGTTAGTCTCGGTATTGCCCATTGTATGTTTATGCCGCTCCATCTAAAGATGAACCTTCGTTATGAACGTCGCATTCTCTTATCGTACGTACGAATGCGAATAATATACGCTTTGCATTCACCAAGAGATCATCTCTCTCGCGATCGATAGACTATAAAAATAACCACCGGCCAATTTCGAATGCTTCATCGATGTTGATGTCCATAGAATCGCCTGAACTATGGGAAACGATCGTCAATGCCTCGACAGGGGTCCATACGCACGCAATTGCTTCGTCAATTGATTTTATGAGTTCCGGTGATTCAGTGTTCTGGAAAAAAAGGAAAAAGGGTCAGAGACTTGCCTTGCATGGTAGATTAAATGAATCATTAAATTATCGTTGCTCTCTTTCTCGTGCCCTTTAATGTACATCGATAAATTATAATAATTTTTGGATTATAGATTTTTATGCTTTCATACGAGATATTAAATAAGTACGAAATTGTACATAATATAAGAAAATATATGAAATAATATTTTGCACATAAAGTAATTTTTTTTACCGAAGTTCAATTACATTTTCGAAAATGTAAATTTGTATAAAATGTTCAGGCTCTACTGTTTATCATCATTTCCAAATCTAATTCATTATAATTGTCCTTTTCCAAAAATTCTCAACATTATAAATTCTATGAAATAAATTCTTTCCTTTTTCTAATAATATCCACAAAGATATAAAATTTTCATGAAAATCCGCAGTCTAATAATAACGTTCAATTTTGTTTCAACGCATAGAAGATTCGTTTTTCAATATCTCTTCATCTTTCGCGAACATCTGGCTATTTACCACGAGCGGTTATTTACATCTGCTGGCAACTTATGTCCCGAAGAGTAACGAAACTGCGCTTCATGCAAGTCTAGAGCATAATTCATCACACGAAGTCCCGTCGTAAAATAATATTATTTTTGAAAACAACGAAAGATCGCGTCGAGCGAAATGGTTCCGACGAGATGAATAATTGCGAAATAAGTTGGATTTATGCAACTTTCGAACTCGGTGGAAATCAATCAGTTCATCACTCTCTCGGCGAGGTCTGCTTAATGATTTTCGCATGGTCGATTTAATCGGCGTAATTGCTTTGCATAACACTCGAAGAGCACACGATTCGCTGGTGGTCTTGGTCGACCAAGAAGGAGAAGGAAGAAGCTCGTCGTTAATGATTTTAACACTACCTCCTCTGTCCGACATTAATTAATCCCGTTTTGCTATATTAAGAAACCAAATGTGCCCCATCTGTGCTACATTAAGTGCTAAAAAATTCTTAAAAAAAAAAAAAAATCCTTTTCTCGGAGGTCGATGAAATCTTGTATAAAATTTAAGAAAAATAAAATACGATAAAACCTCGTATTAATGGATTCTTAACTTCTATTTTTTTTTTTTTTTTTTTTTTTGATCGAAGAGAAGAGAATGCATGATAAATTTGTAAAATATTCTGAAATGTTAATGAAAATTTTAAAATTGATTGCTGTACACCGCGTGTACACCGTTTCAATGTAGCTGAAATTTTATGTCCAGTAGGTACTCGATAGTAGATTGGATAAAAAAGACATCAATTATATTATTGGTCGTCTTGCGGGTACATAATGGTTCCATTCACCTCGAGATAATTCGACGAACTTTGCGGTGACTTCTGCGCGACGACACAATTGCATACGACCTGCTTTCTATTGGCGCTTTTCTTTTTCTTCTTTGGCATTTTCCTACATTCGAAGAACAATGTTACGCACACTAAACGCGCCGCGTGAATCGAAAGAGGAACGGGAATCATTTTCGTACAACTCAGCACATACAATAGAGGTCAGAACGTGTTGAAAAGGACCTTGCTAATTAAGAGAAAGGAATATTTATACGAAGGGAGAACAATACCGATGAGTCAATCAATTTATCAATTAAGACTGTTAAACAGACATTTGGAATGTCAAATAATTTACTTATCGTGTCAAGTCCAAGCTCCTTGGATTCAATCCAAATCTTGACTAATCCGTGCAAAGTTCATCGCCATTCTCGTGCAGGATTCACGGCGTCCACTCTGTCCTGCATCCTTGAGACGAGTCTGTGTACTTAGCACACGCATCGAGTATTTATCGCTTTCGTGCTTGAAATTATTTATCAATGCGAATGGCAAATGTGTCGCGTTGTATACGAAAAATATATGTACGATGCATTATTTATCGACTACCTGCATACCGGCGAAATTCTACTGCGTTCAACGTGTCGAGCGTACTTCTCGCACTTGAAAATCATTTTCGATCCTGTAAAAATGTCTGGCAAAACATTAGTATCAATTCTTAATTACAATAGATCTTTCTTGCACGAGTAGTTTACATTGTAAGGTGATATGATGAAAATAATATATCGAAAGTCTTGGAACTAAAAATATAATTAATTTAAAATGATCTTTGATTTTTAAACAATAACTTGTTAAATGTGATATGATGAGCAGTATCGGCGTCGAAACGTAATAGTAATCGATATTGATAATATTTAACATTGTGTTTCTTTTTATTTATTCATTTTTTTTTTTTTTTTTTTTATAGATTTTTAACTGCATGTTGGTCGGAGAAACTCACGGGAAATGTATCTATATTTTCTCGTCACGTTCTTCACGCTTGCTTCTACATTTAGAAATTTTATTATTATCATGCTATCTTGTAGATATACCGCTGTAATTTCAGTTTTATTGAATCTGTCGAGTAATGTACGAGGAATCTTTGATAAACTCCATCCAGTATATGACCTTTACTTTAGCGTCTGATTTCATGCGTTAGGTCAATATTCGCACATTTTTCTCACATAGGTGCATTATTTGATATTATCGTATTTAATATTATTATTATTATTATTATTTGAAATTTCTGAATTATTCTAAGAAAACATATTTCTACGAGAATGTCTCACTTTCTTGTCAAGAATTAAAATCTTTATAAATACATTTCAAGCTCTCATCTGAAAATTTTCAACGACAAAAGGACTCATTATATCCCTCATAGGGCAATACTGCCTGAAACTATGGCGCCAAAGAGATGCCGACTTCGAAAAAAGAGACGCAGGCGCACTGGCGGCAGGCCCATCGATTGTAAACAAAACTCGAGGCGACCGCGTGGTTTGGATCAGTGTGGCGACGACTCTCGCGATCGAAGGAAGTGATGGAAGTGCTTTTTCCCCTCTTCCGTAGCTTCAACTTTGATCAGACGAATCGAAGGTTCGCACCGTTAATTCTCCGTTGAAAAACATCTTCGACAGAAGGAACAGAGAAGAACGTGTCGAGCCACTCGACAATTTGGCGATCGAGGTTTGAAAGAGGTTTAAGAAAAATTTCGTCGACAGTCGATCGAATTCATCTGCTTTAGGCATTAATTCAATCACCAATATTTGCGTGAAGATTCATGTGATTTAATCCTCATCGCGTAAAGTTCAACTTCTGAAGTACCGTTCTGCTCTCCTCGCTGACTAAACGTCGTTGATGACACTTTCAAGTCTGACGATCGCGCGACAGGACAACCCAGTGTGCAACAGGTTTCACAGAGATTCGTTCTCGGTTCTGTGCTGCCTTCGATCGATGAACGCTGACTGTGGCCCGCTGCACATCTAGCCCTGTGCGACTTGAATAAGGGACTGCAGGTAGTCTTTCAAAAAAGGGGCCGAATACAACGTTGTCACATCTCGCGAGACAGCGGCGTATGCGTAGCAGCAACAGCGCCTGTTGAAGAGCAAGATACGATAATAGAGTACCAAAGGTACGCGATAACTGCAGCGATACATACGCTGGAGATCAACAAGTCGCTTTAGGAGACTGTCGTCATGGGATAATGCTTCGGCGGGAATAATTTCAGCTGTCGTTTCTACGCTGCTAGTCCCCCTTCGTTCTCACACACGGGAAAACGAGAATTACTCGAGATCCGTATAAACAATGAGCTCTGTGAATTATTGCATCGTTGTACACATATTCGAGGCTGCTGCTTGAAACGAAACGATTTCGACACGAACGTTATCTTTGGTCGCGATCTTCCTATAACACAAACGAGGATTATCGATTGACGGGTAATCCACGAGTCGTTGAAAGGAAGCTCTGAGAGTCGAGATGTCGCTCACTTCGACGGAGGTTTGGAACGAAACCCTGTCGATGATGAATTCGACGCTGAACACGACCCTGGTGCTGAACGGTGCTCTGAATCCATCCAAAAGACACGTGACATTCGCCTCACAGGTGGTGCTCACACTTGTATATATCACCGGCGTGATCGGCAACGTGTCTGCCTTGGTTATTCTCTTTCATCGTGATAAGGTAATAGTACTTTCGTTTAGCGATTATCAGATCGTAGAAAGCAACTAAATAACGATTGAATACTTTTTAATGTTATCAATATATTTTACCACTGATCAAGATTATAACATGATAATTAGTATTTATCGACTGATTAGTTTCTGAAATTTGTTGTCTTTACTACTAACAGAAGAGGAAGTGAATTATTATCAAGAAGTCTTTGTCTTGAACAAATGTCACTGATTATCGATAGTAATAATCGATATGAAACAAATATTTGAACGTAAGGTTAAATACTAATGAATAATACAGATTGCATTCTCGCTGGGAAAAATCGTGACTGAAAATCATAGATTTCTTAAAAATACTAAATAATGAACTATAGCGATTCGTCGAAGTTATCGTCGAAAGAACAAAAAAAAACCCCGTAAAACGGGGACATTTTTGTCATTCCTCGTTCTACTCCGCAACAAAAACTTTTTTGTTGCGATAACTCGGGAACGTAATCTACGAGTCTCTCGTCGAAGGGATCGCTTCTATGGCAAGAATGCGAAGGAAAAGACTCTTCGTATAATACATTTCATCTCATTCAATTCTGTACTTCTTCAAAAATAATAAAGAACGTATATTTTTTAATAAAAGAAAATTAATAATATACGGACCACTCACGGAGAGTCGTGATAAAAATATATCTTTCAATAATAAAATTAATAATGTACAAACTACAATTGATATAGATAGCTAAAATACAAAAATAAATAAATAAATTGCAAAGGAAATTGAAAAAAAAATCCCGAGAATAATCTCTAGACCAATCACTACGTAATCGAAATTAATTGTTTCAGAGGAGGAACCGAAAACATTTGCTGATGCTGCGTTGTTTAGCAACCAACGATCTGGTCGCGTTGTTAGGGATGTTGGTGCAGATGTATATCACGATCTACGTAGGCAGCGTGATATCTACGAGAGGATTCTGTTCCCTTCGCGTTGTCTGGAGGCTGTTCGGATTGTTCAGTGGTTGTGTCGCCATCGTAATGGCAGCGGAAAGGTGGCTAGCCTTAACCAGGCCCTTCGTTTATCAGAAGGTAAGTCAAGATTCTTGATAAGCCTTTTCCAACGACCGACTGGCACTGACTTTGGCATTGACAGGGGCTTATCGTCGGATTTCCCCTTCATCTTATATTTCCTTTCAAGCTCGCGTCCTCTTTCACATCGTCGAGTTCCATCACTTTCAAGCTACAAACTTGGAGTTGTAGATTCCAGTTACATTAGACTTAAATCGAGCGTTCTTCGAAAAACAACATTCGAGAACGATGTATGGAGAATCGAGTATATTTCTGAGGTGAAAGATGCTTTATTTCTTTCACTTGGTCATTGATATTCACCATAGTTCGTAATCACGAGTCGAACGTGATCAGGAAAACGGCGCCAAGCTTTCCTCGCCGTGATACCCTGGCGATGGAAGACAAATACGGAAGCCTTGAAATTCAAATTGAAGCTTGAGATCTTTCCATTTGATTAGCTTCGCTGTTCCCACAGCTAATCCGATAATTAGAAATTAAAAATCTCGCTCCGCACGATCGAGTTTCAAGATTTCCGCAGGATTCTTGAACATTTCTTCGCGCGAGAATCTTTCCTATGATAAACTTCTATAGTTGATGAATTTAATTACTCCTACTCCAGAGTAATTAATGTATTCCGATAGTGAACAAAATTAATAAATAACACTTCGAGGTCTATGAAAATCATTGCAGGACTAGGGACAAGATGGGGTTGAAAATGAAAGCAATTATTAATCATACTTCAAAATTCAATGCTTAAATGCTCCAAAACTGGCATAGAGATAAACGAGAGGAAAACATCACAGTCACACATCATAGCCGAACCAACTTCATAGGTTTTATCTGTACGTGACAAAGTTCAC